GACTCCGTTTCACACTCTCAGAAATAGAGGGTGCAGTACTTACACCCCTTGTCTCATATATACCACCCCGAAAGACTAGAATTCGACGTTCAGTGCATCGACGTCGAGCTCACGATGCCATCCTTCACGACCGACTTGATGGTTGAGTGGTACAACCTATTAAAATAACTAATGTAGGCATTGAAGACAACGAAAAAAAATTAAGGTTTTGTTCGCCCTGCTGCAAAACCTCAAGCGTTTTTTTTTTTCTTTCTTCTATTTTTCCTGTACCCTTTGATGCGCACATTAACTATTTGGTAATTTACATTACACAGCTATTAAGCCGCTCGTAAGAGTTGGTATCGTCCTTTTGACGTCAGATGGACTGAATGTCGAAGTGTACTTTTGGGGTGTTATACATGGAACAAGGAGTGTAAGTACTGCAACCCCCTGTTTTTAAGAGTTCACATTAAGCCCTATCCGCGGCCAATGCTACAATCCCATGAAAACAATCGAGCAGCGCCAAAAGTATATCGTCATGACTCTTGGTGTTTGGGCGTTTGCCTCCGCCGGCTAAACCAATCACGTGAATGTGGCGTGATCGTGCGCTTTTTTATGTGCGCGATTGGTCTAGCAGGTTATACAAACCCATCACACTGATGAGCGCCATGACAATGGACTTTAAAAGGCTGCTTCATTGGCGTCATCGGATTGTAGCGTTAGCTGCGGACGGACTCAATGTTAAACAGGGCATGCACTCTAAAAAAAAGCCCGTGCGTTTGCTTTCCCGCACAACACTCGGAGAGCCAATCACCGCAACTTACGGAGGCAGCTCAGCGAATGACGATGCGGAAACATATGTTTAGACCAAAAAACGCAGTCTGAGTGGTGACATTAAGCGATGCAAGCGTGACGTTTTGCATTGCTTAAGGTCACAACTCACACTGCGTTTTTTGGTCTAAACATATGTTTCGGCTTCGTCAATCACTCAGCTGCCTCCGTAAGTTGCGGTGATTGGCTCTCCGAGTGTTGTGCAGGAAAGCAGACGCACGGGCTCTTTTTAGATAGCAGCTTTGTATTGTGGCTGCAAATGTCTTTTTTTTCTTTTCTTTATGGCATAGAGTTTTGGTATAGCGTACAATGCAGTGTTGAAAGTTCACCCGCTCAGCAGTATCTTCTCTCCTATGTTTACTTATAAACTCATTGGAGGCACAGCCGAGAGGGACGTGAACCGGGTCACGCCTACTGAGGCTAGTGCTTGTTTCTCTATATCATGCTTGGTCCGTTCACTTTTAAGTGATTGCGCTGTGTGTATCTGCAGTGCATATTTGCATGGGCTCTAGGACTTTGCCACACATATTTTTGTTTTATTTATTCTTGTTTTTTTAACAAAAAGCATCGCTGGAGCGAGTCGGTTGAAAATGGACCGCCTTTATGGCCGTGACTACAGTAACCGTGACTGCTACAATCCAGATTGTTGCGACTTTGCCCGACCTAATATATGTCCCAAGGTTAAAAGTGTTTGAATAACATAAGTTGGTGGGAAGAAAGAAATCTGACGGGGCAAGACAGATGTTCCGAAGTAATGAAAACGTTTAAGATTTATTAGTAAGAATAAAGAAATGTATGCCCAATTCGCAGATATCTTTGGCAAGTGCAAAAATAGGGTCTCTGAAATACCTAGGCTCAATCTAAAATGGGCCGTAAAAATCGGCGCTCGCACGTAGCAATCTAAACTTTTCTTCAGAGATGTATTTCACAGGTCAATTTTATCATGCAAAATTAGAAAGCCTAGCTCCCTTTTCATAAAAATTAGGGTAAAAAAACTTGCCTCGGTCAACGGCGGACGGCGACGCAGACGACCGAGTCGAGTGGCGGGGCGCGTTTGGCGCACGTATTGACAGATGGCGTCGGGAGCAGCGTCCGAATACATCGGACGATGTAGCCAACGTTAGGTATGGCCGACCAGCGAAAGGAAGCAGACGATACCCCGTTGAAATCCATCGGCAGCAAGAGCGCCGTTGGTGCCGTTGTTATGCAATCACGTTTTCTTTTATTATTGTTACTTTAAAGGGACCATGAAATGACCTTTTTACTTTTTCCAGATAACTTATACATTAAACCGTCAATGTTCACTGAATGCCGAACAGGCATCCGTTTTCGTCTCGGTTTATTAACTTCTACACAAAAAATTAATGAAATATCGACTTTTTCTTGACCGCAAAACAAGCCGTGACGTACGATGTTTCCGGAACCGGAAGTTCTCTCTGCAGTAGGAGATGGGAGCGTTAGCGAGTTGGGGTGCGCCGGTGGGTTTTACTGCGCCGATGTCACCGACGTATTTTCTGAATCGGCGCCTCTCATCGCCGCTGCCGCATCGCAGCTGAACGAAATTCAATGAGATACGTTGCGCTACAGCGACAGCATGGGACTAGTCCCATACGCCGGTATGCCTGTTGGGAAGTGCAGATGGGAACAATTTGCCGCGGCGTTTTTCGCGGTCTCGGAGATGCAGGAGCGAGCCGACGTTAAAAAAGATACGTTTGAACTGTCAGCAAGAGCCACGTAAATACCTGTTCACACTCGGAGCGGACGCGCGCGTTTGATGAAGTGCTGTATTCGCGCTGTTGGTAAGCGCTTCGGGACCGATCTTTTACAATTGCAACTCGATACTGACGCGACACTCGGCAAAGAAAGGTTGGACCGGTATTGCACGTATACCTCCCACGAACTGTTACAGCTCGACAGTGACGTGCAGTTTGTCAGAATAAAAATGGCATACCAATAACAAAGTGTACATACCGTGCTACGAAGGTAATCCATACAGCGTTTATTTCAGCTCTATATCACACAAAACAAGGAGAGGATCGACGAGGGTCCCTTTTCGACGAGTGTTCGTCAACACTGCCTCGGAAAACAAGGGGAAGAGATTGACCTCACCTCTTAACCTAAAATTGAGGTCAGCGATCAAACTATAGTACGGAAGGGTCCACAAGGGTAGCGCGGGCATATTCCATTCAGTACGCCAGCCGGTCGTAGGCAGACGGTCTTGCGACGAAGCAACGCTGCGCCGAGTCGGAGTGCCTGCTAGGCCTATATTCTGAGAGTTTCGTCGGAGCGGGATTCGCGGCTGTTGTCGCTCTTCTCGGGTGTTTGTGGATCCAGCGTTCTTGTTCGTCGTGGTTTGTTTTAGGTACATTTCTTTCTTGCTGCTTGAAGTCGGCACGCGCGAGATGAACACGTAGAAAAATAAACGTTCAGTCAGCCAGAGTTTTGAGAGGAAGGAAATCAATGGAAATAAACGTTCGTCGGTCGTCGCCCTGCCCTGCTGCGCACGCGCAGTAGTTGCTTCGTTTACCACACGATAGATGGCGCTTGGCTCTCAGCATTATCAAATTTGGCAATTTTCGCCACACATCTCTAATTATGCTACAAAATGTGGATCTGAATATTATTTAACAAAACTTTTAGGAAACATTCGCCGGATATTTATTGTTTACGATCGCGGTGCTGGTGAGGTAGGCTCTTACCCAATAGGCGATGTGGATTCGGCTGACGTGCACCGATTCTGCGTATGCATCGTAGTGAAAAGGCAGAGCTTTCGAAGGAAAGAAGTCGCAAAAGAGTCCAGTTTTCTTTTAAAAGTTCTATAGCAAATAATTTTTTTTGGCTCCCTAGTCTTGTGTTTTTGTGTTCCTTTTCCCACCTTTTACGACGTGCGGTGGATGAAATTCGATTTTAAAATCATTTCATGGTCCCTTTAAGTTTTCCTATCATTGTCCGCGTTTATATTTAAACGAAAGGTGCATCGTTATAAAATCATGTTAATTTTAATAGACCACGGTCGTCGTGAGCAGTGTCGATAAGAATGTAACGCGATATATCAGTACGTGCTCCAAACGCGCTTTGCCGCTCGACTCGGTCGTCTGCATCGCCGTCCGCCGTTGACTGTGGCAATTTTTTGATTCCTGTGTTTTACAGAAAGGAAGCAACGCTTTGTACTTTTACAAGATAAAACGAACCTGTTAACTAAACCTTTGGCAAAAAGTTTAGATGGCTACGTGCAGGCGTCGAGTTTTACGGCACATTTGAGATTGAGGCTGGGTCTTTTAGACACCCTACATACCATCTGTTTGTACAAAACAAAAATTCTACATGCGTAAAACTTATGACCAAAGCCTTGCTGTGTAATCAGTGCCGACTCTCGAACATCGTTCTGAATGCTAAGCTCAGATTTTGCTGGTCCACCAGCATTCAGGGTTAGTAAATGAGGCACGTGTTTTACTTGCCTTCAAAACCGACAAGCTCAGACGTTCTGATCCTCAAATTCGCTTGTGACCGGTGGAGATGCACTCCTGTGAATGCGATAAGTACCATGGGCCGATGTCAGTCCAGATAGGGCAGTTTACTTCTGACCGGTTTACTACTTTAATCAGCGCATTAAATAACGAAATCATTTTGAAGGTTTTATGATAATTCAATTTTCATCAGTAAAAATGTTTTCTTATAGGTTAGCGCTTACGGTCACCAGTCTCAATTTAAGGGTAATTTTTTTATAATGACCATTAGTTTATCTGTGAATTTAATATAGGACCGATATTGAAAGCAATACTGTGGTCATCATAAGAAAATGTTTTATATGTATAAAGATATTAGAAATGAAATAGAAGTATTTAGAAACTATAAATACCTCACAAGGCCTTGTACAAAAAGATGTTAAAAACTGAAAATTGCTTTAGCAGCTTGTAATGCTATATAAGTTTGCTTTCTTAATATTTGCTTGAAATAGCGCCGTCTTAGAAAAACAGATTAAAAATTCAGAACTGAATTATTTTTTATTGACCAGACCTTTTGCCGACGTGCACTCGATCATATAATAATATCAGCGCATAAAGAGGTTCGTAATTTTTTTCTTCATAGCAATGTCTTGTTCCGTGCAACCGTAACTTTAATAAAAAACAGGACACAATGCATGTCAAAATTTTTTTAAAGAAAGGAAGGAACTGTCCTTGTACTTTCAGGGGCCGGATGCAGGGAGGAGGCGACATCAACTCGGCCCTAGGCTGCCTGCCAGACAAGCTCAAAACTGAGCTGGCGCTCCACGTGAACCTCAAGACCCTGAAAAAGGTAGGCTTGCCTCCTAAATTCGAGCGATGGCTGTCAGGAGAAACCTAAAAGTTATTAAACGATGACGGAACTATATGTGCCCTGTATAACTATGGCGCATCCTTAGAACATGGTTTGAACTAGGTGGACAGGCGCCACCCCCGTCATTTAGAAAAAAGTGCAAGATACTCATTGGAAGCTTAAATGTAATAATTTAGTTCAGACAATTTGGCAATGAATATATTATGATGTATATATATACAAGGTGTTTCGCCAGATCGCTCCGTAGAACCGCGGACATTTATTTTGACACCCCGGATGAGGTTACTGCTTCAGAAACGTAGATTGTAACCAACTTACTATTCATTATTCGCTTCGCGAGGCACTTCTTATGTCCAAAATGTGTTTATTCATATATTTGTTTCTATCTGTTTACCCCCGAGATTTCTTTTGTAGATAGCCAGGGGGGGGGGGGGGGGGGGGGGCTATGTAAATGTTAACGCAGACATAAGAGTAACAAACAAATTTAAAAGCCATGGCGGCAATACCCTAAAGTACTAAATCGCAATAAAACAATACAGTTTCTCAAATCGAAGCAGGCGTGACCAAAAACAACGATAACAAAGTCGGCGCGATGATAACTGATGTTTTATGGAGAGAAAAAAAAAAGAATTAAGAGAATAAAAGAAGTCTGGCAGTGATGTGCCACGGCAATATTGATGGCAATTTATTCTATTCACTGGTTGCAAGGCTTAGGGGGAATATTTAGTTGTGCTACGACGCGCAACTATAGAGTTTGCTTTGTCAGGGAGGTCTAAGCACGGAAAGAGGCGGTTGGCTTACACAGCGCGCCTTTGACGAAAGGGTGAAAAACTGTGACAAATCTCATAAAATAAAGTTTGCTTTGAAGTGACATAGAACGCTGATCGATGCTCGCACTTTATATTGGTACAGCTGACCGTTCTCAAACCGACAAAATCATGAAACTCTTTATCAGGCGCGTTTTTGACAACCTGATAAAGTGTACCTTGAATCTCAATGCGTTTATTGGGACCTTGGCCATAACGAAGATCCTCCCATGATCTATTAAATAAAAATTTCAATGTTGCAGGTCATGACAGACTTAAAGAAACTTAAAACGACTCTAATTGTGTCTTTTCTAAGGGATCAATATGAAAAGGGGGCACCTGAAGGATAATTTGACTGCACTACCGTGGACACAGCTGGCTATAACAGGCGACCGCTGGCTGTCTGGTATTCCCATGCGCAGAGCTGGAAGTACACCCTGCACGCACAGTGCGTTGATTTTGCTCTTCCAGTTGCCCACCATGCACTACACCACTTGGCCGTATAGGAGGGCGTCTAGAGCTTAATTCCAGGACAGACACACTATGTGCTTCCTGCCATAATGAGAGTGAGACACCAGAGCACTTGGTTTTGATGTGCAAGGGGCTTCGCCCGGCCCTCCCTGAAAGGGTAACAGATTTGGCCGGGGCCATAGGTTGTGCTGCCAACGATGGAAGGACGGAAGACAAAAGAATTACAGTCACAAAGGGTCGATTAGAAGATTCGTGGAAATTATCTAGGGAAAATTGAGTGATGCACAACTTGGAAAATTGGGACTCCCTCCCGCGTGGCTCCGGCCCCAGGTCTCAACCCTGTCTTCCGGTTGTCCTGTGCTGGGGTAATGCCGACAAGGTTTGACCAGAGCAAAATTGGCGACTCCCTCGACGGGGGGAATAGGCGGGAGGTGATGTCTTTAGTTTTTTGCCCGATCCCCCAAAGGTCATCGTGATGATATCCCACACTGCCTGATGATAGTTAGAGGGAGAAAATTGGCCTAGAAAAGGGGGAGGAATCATATGGCCGTCCTTCTAGACTTAAGCTAGGTGGCGCAAGCTACCGCCCGTTACAAAGGGTATAGCCATTATCACCCATCAATCTATCCGACGTCTGCTTAGGGAAAAGCAGACGACGCCAAAGCGTGTGCCGTGTGATAGCCAGCTGTGCCCACGATGCATATATAGCAATGCTTTTATAACGCTTTTAAAATTTGTGTTGTCATAAAAAGTAGAGGCCGGTCAAATACTTGGGACGTCTTGATCGATTCGAGCCAACGCTACTAAAACACTCAGTTGGGAAACTCCCATAGAGACAGCTTTGAAAAAGTGGCTTCAATATGTCTCCAAGCACCGAGCTAATGACGAACACAACGCCACCATTTTTCCCGCAGCGGCCACTCGAGGAACTGCACGTGACTTCTATTTTGGCTCTAAGAACAGATACAGCGGAAGAGGTTACAGGGGTGCCACCCCCGTCTCCCCGGCGGACGCGCCGCGTCGAGCTACCGAAGTTAAAATGCACCTAGGTCGGGACGCGCTCGTTTGCGGTACAATATTAATTGTACCGCAAAACCCTGCAAACTAAAGATTTTAAAAACATAACGCGCCCCTCTTTTTGTACTAAACTCCAATCAATTTCATACAAAAAGAGTCTTTTCCGTTTGTTTTTACGCGAAAACAGGCTTTCAAAAAGCTCAAGGTGACCACAGTACAGACAAACGATAAAGAGTGGCGCTGTTGTCGCATTTAGCTCGGTCTCGGTGGACGCCAGCGGCCCAGGTTTCGACGGCGAGTTTCCCAACTGAGTGTTTTAGTAACGTTGATTCGAGCCGTGCTTGCTAACTTCGCTAATGTTCTCTTGGTGTTCTTTTTTTTCACTTAGTACTTAAATATTCAGGCAACGTTCTTCCAACGTCTACTAATTAGGGTAAATTCAGCGCAACAAAAGGCGCCAAATTACTCACTTCCTCGAGTTGAAAAATCTAGAACTACTTCCACGTCATCAGTCGTCATCGCTGTGTGTCTAGTCAGAAAAAGGGGATTGGGTTTATTCTATATTCCGTTTAACTTCAGAATGAACTGCAATGGACTCTGCTAGCCATGGAAACCAATCCTATGCCGTGTGAGCGTCACGTGACCATTTAGGGCGGGGGGGGGGGGGGGGGGGGGGGGGGCTCAGCTACGTGCGGGGCGCGTAATCAGGTGATGCGATCTCAGCGCCGGATTGGCAAGAAAATGTAGAAAAAGCAAGTGAACAAAAAAGTTGCGTGCACGGACCAGAATGGTTTAAGCCTACGGATGGGTGCTGACATCTATCGACAGATGAAGAAAACTCCTGCCAGGATATCTTACGACGAAATCACTTCTGCGACGCTTCAAAGCGCGAGTATTTAAAGCGTGTTTGTCAAAACTCTCTTTGAAATGCCACTTTGTGGATTATAATTTAGAACGTGATAAAAAAAAATCAAACACCACGGTCTTGTGTGTTTCTTCTTTTTGGTTCCATCATATTCAACGTATAACATCAAGCCCAATTCCCGACATTCTCACAGTTTTAGTGGGAAGTCAGTCGATTGCAGTAGGGAGAAATATATTTCGTTTGACAAAAAATATATATAATTCGATGCTAATTATTTAAATAAAAAAATACTCATATTTGATTTCTTATGGGTTAGTCGCTTCGAGTGTTTGAAATTCGATATCGTAGAGCCACTCCATCTGGGACTGTTAACATGAATGAGAATGGCTCTCGTCTGCACGTAGTGAATATGCGTTCTCATTCACCTTAACAAATTAAAATGCAAAGTATAAGACTTTTCCAAATAATATCAGAATGAGCTTGTTTGGTAAACGTTACGCAGCAAGACAGATGTGGAAATGGACAAAGGGGAGTTGAAAGAGGAGATGCATACTGTCAACATATATGTTGAAAGTTGGCGCTTGCTCTGTCTCTTCCTTCTGCTCGTTTTATTTTTTTTTTATGCATTTCGTCTTTTATGTGCGTTTTCAAATTATTAGTATTATGGCGTAAAACCCTCCCAACATAACCCGAATTTTCTGCAAAATTATTAATATTGATGGGAGTGCCTTGCTTGTCCTATACGAGGTATAATTTCTCTAGGCTTTACAAATTTCTCTAATAAGAAAAAAGGTCGTAAAAAATATACATTAATGCGGTTTGTGCAGGTGAGTTATACAGCCAGGAGAACATAATAGAGTGGAGCAGTCGGAACAATAACTCGGCTAATTACCTCAAACGTGTTAATTAGCTTGTTAATTGATTGAAATAATCATATGGTTTTAATTACAAACTTGTAAAACGTCATTAAAAAAAACAAAATTGGTCAATTGTAGAAAGACTTTGAGCACGTGAAAACACTGTGGAATGCTGAATTTGCCACGCGTGCAGCTGCAGGTGCAAAGCTACAGGTGCGATAAGGTGCCCGCGCGATTTTTCAGTATCTCATAATCCGCGTTTTCTCACGACCAGCCTTGTCCCTATGCGGAGGGCAAGTTCGTAGCTCCTTGCGCATGGGTTGCAGTGACGTCAGAACGCCGAGCTCTGATTGGCTTGATTGGAAGAACAGTGGGTAGACTTTAAGGCAGCTAGCATTGAGGCTTACCCCCTATCCTTCCTATTAGAGCCAATCAGAGCTCGGCATTCTGGCACCACCGCAGCCCCTGTGAAAGAAGCCGACGAACTTGCGCTTTGCGTTGCGAGCGTAGTAACTTTAGAGCACTACGCGCTTCCTACGAGATCAAAGTCCTTGTGAAAAATACCAATTTTAGTGGTTGCCCATGACGCTCACCAAGTTTCTAATTAGAAAGATATGTATATTTTTGCTAAATAAAAAGTCAATTAACTTATTCTTTTTTTTTAATATTTGAGATATCGTAGCGATTAGCCTCCTACATAACGTCCCCCTAGCCGTATAACTCACCTGCACAAACCGTATTACCGTAACTTTCACGACTTTCATAAAATAAATATTTAAAGCGTAAAAAAACACCTGCATAGTTAGCGTTATGATGATGTTTTACTGGGTATGGTAAAATTAGAGTACTGTATCAACTAAAGGTTCGCATAATGTTTGCGCAAAACGAACAAAAAGTATTAATTGCGTAAAAATACCTACACGGTCACCAATTGCGGTGAAGAATTTCGAAGAATATACGAATAAGTTCACTAAAGGGGAGGTTTCGAATTTGTATTTCTAAAATTGTCGATGTTTGGAAGGTTAATAAAAAGAAAAATAATAAACAATTCCAGACATCGCGATTTTTTTAGGAGCTACGTATTTCCTTTTTTTTTATCAACGCCGTAATTGACGTTATAATTCTAAAATAAGATAAACTTATAGGCGTATTCAGTGAATAAACATTTGGAAGGTCATTTGAAAGAGACTTGCAAGTAATTATTATAACCTCGAATTTATACCCCCGTGTCACTTTTATGATGGTATTCCACCAAAGCGGCCATTTTAAAACATTTTCTTCCTAAGCGCCAGAGTTTCATATATAAAAATGTACCATGCTATGTCCTTCGAATGGAGTTTTTTTTTTTTTAATTAAAACAGTGCGGTGGTGTCATCATATTAAATCGCCACTGAGAAGTTATTTCTCGTGCGATACCTCGATCGACAATGGCACAAAAAGCTCAAGCAGCTTACACGGGAACGAACGCGCGCAGGTGACTATCTTCCAGGAGTGCCAGCCCGAATTTCTGCACGACCTGGTGCTCAAGATGCGTGCGTACATATTCACCCCCGGAGACCTGATCTGTCGAAAGGGAGAAGTGGCCCGCGAGATGTTCATCATAGCCGATGGCATCCTCGAAGTCATCAGGTAACGGTTACCGTTCTTCCCGTTTTCGTCACCTTTTTGGTGAAGGGGACCTCAAATTATTTCAAGGTCCATTTCCACGGACTGAGTCTAGCGCATTTGCTCTATTCGTGTTTTATGCGTTATACCTACATATTTGTGAAGCATCTTAGGCACGTGCGCTACTCTCTGGTTTTCAGAGGCGTATACCCCAAGAAAAGTGCACACTGAAAAGTAAACGTTTCAGTAAAAATCTCTTTGGTTAGGTGAGTATTAAAAGGTAACTGCAAAGAAAAAAATTGGATTTTTAAACAGCCTAATTGGGGCAAGCATGTCACAAAACAAATTTTTCAACAAAAACAAAAATTTTTACAGCAATGTTTATGGCGCGGGACTGATTTTAGTTTGCGGCTATTTCGTCCGTTTTAAATCGCGCGCCACCAAGTTGGTATTATACGTCACGGACTGGCTGCTGCACGTCACGGAGTGACGTAGAACAGCCACTCCGCGCGCGTCAAAAGAGCGGGAGTTTCAAATCTGGAGAGGTTGTGACTCCGGCTCAATTACGTCCTGGGGCGTAAATATTGCTAAAAAAATTGTTTTTTGCGGAAGATTTGTTTTGTGACATGCTTGTCCAAATTACGCTGTTTAAAACACACTTTTTTTTTTTTGCAGTTACCCTTTAAGAAAAGAAGCTGGAGGTACTCTAACCAAATGTGTTAAATAGCCTGACGTTTCGCGGCCTGCTCGATCGCTTGTTCACGGGTGACTTATATTTTGTTCACGGGTGACTTATAGCGACTTTATTTAGAGCCATGGCATATCCATCATACCTAGAACAACCTGAACCGGTCGATCGGTACCCTCCCAAGCAGTTATATTCACGGACTTCGAGTAGTCACAAAATAAGGAGACGATTTTAACGGCGGCGACGAGGAGAAGCGAAAGACAAACATCCAGCCAAATAAGTCACCCGCAACGTTACTGGAACCACTCAGTTGGGAAACTTCCATGGAGCCTGCTTTAAAAAAGTGGCTCCAATCTGTACTCGAGAACCGAGCCAATGGCGATCGCAACGCCGCCATTTCTCCCGCAGCGTCCACTCCGGGCACTGCAGGCTGCGCGTATTGGTTCATGTCGAGTCGGGCAAGGGCCGGTGGCGCCATCTCGCAGGGCCACCTCGCAGTAGCTATGCAAAGCAACTTTCATGTTTCAACTCGTCGCAAAGAGGTGGCGCTGTTATCGCATTTAGCTCGATCTCGGAGGACGCCAGCGGCCCATGTTTCAAGAGAGAGTTTCCCAACTGAGTGTTTTAGTAACGTTGGTCACCCGTGAACAAGCGACCGAGCTGGCCGCGAAACGTCGGGCGATTTAAACGCAGCTGTATAGAGTACCTCCAGCTTCTTTTGCTAAAAGTGCTCCTGGAAGAAACATATATAAGTTTTTATGGTCGCTAGTTCCTTTTGTTTTTTACATACTTTTAGGGATGTATTAAAATTCCAGACTAAGAAATCTCGTGGGTGCAGCTCTTTGATCGTTCAGCATACACTTAGAGGTTAGCTGTGCGGAGTAAATTACGAAGCCCCTGTTGCGCGTGATCACTCTCAGGATTCAGTTATTTATATTACAGCAGAAACCAGAAATTAAATTTCAAAATAATTCAAAGCATTAATTACATGGGAGCCAGCCTTGTATAGATTGCTCGACAAAAGTAATAGATTGCAATTACAAATACTTTTTGTTAGATAGACTTCAATTAGATTATTTTATTATTTGAGAAGAAAAGGGATTCGCCGTTACTTGAAAATGTAGACGCTACCTTTTCGATTAACTCAGAATTCCAAATTAAGATCTTTCTACCTCGTTAAACCGGCTCTTTCCTACCGTGCATCACTGAATACTAATCACTACATTATTAACTTGTTACCTTAATCCATCAGTTTTGGTAAAGCAGCCTTGGTTCGAAGATTCCTTGACAGGAAACCTGTACGAATGGGCCTTCAAGAAGGGGAAGGAGAAATAGTAGCGCTTAGAAGTAATTTTAGTACTTCCAAAACTAATCCGATTACTCTTGTGATTACTTCATAAAAATGCATTCACATGAATATAAAATTACTTCAAAAGGTAATCGATTGCAAGTAATTTGATTATTTGTAAATCGTACGAGTACCGTGCACGTCCGAGGGTGCTCCAGTCAAGCAGTGGCACAGTTTCTCTTCGCCTAAAGAAATTTTATGAAACTATTAAATGGACAATAAAACAATATTATTTTCACTGAACGCTTTTTATGAAAACACAGTAGGGACGGCGAGACAAAGAAAAATATATTTCAAACCCAATCCTTACTAACGCGAAGGCACGAGCCTGTAGCTCCGAGCACGTCTGCTGGCTCGCGTTCACCATAGCTCGACATTGTTTCGAGACAATCACTCTATTTGTCTCAAAATAGCCGTGTACGATAGTAGCATTCTTTATAATCGTTATGAAACACATAATATATATATATATATATAGTGTTTCACGAAAAGTCGACAAATTCAATATTGCGAAAACTACTCGTCGAAACGAAAAAAAGGCTTGTGTCGTTTTGGTCCTGGGCCAGGATCCTATTTAGTGAAATTATTAAAGTCCGGGATAATTACGCTGTTAATGATTTTCGTGTAATAAACTTTTTAAATACTGTGTTTAAGGGCGTGGTTTAAGTTAGAAAATTGCCCAGCATCATTGAAAAACACTAAACCAACAAATTGTAGAACGACTGAAGGCCCGTGCGGCATTTTACGGCTTTCTGAAAAGCCGCGCAAATTCGACGAGTTTTTAAGTTTCAGTTTGCAATCGGAGCGCACCTCGGCCCCGACGGCACCGCGCCTCGTGGAGAAAAAGTGCAACCAACCTCTGCTGCGCTGTCCTCACGCAACGCAGCAGAGGCTGGTTGCGCGAGGCTGGTTCAGTCTTGAAAAATGTCTGTCTCAGGCCGAAACGTCGACGAACTTTACAAATGATATGTTATAAAACAACCATCTCAAGTACGTTTTTCTACCGCACATGTATTAGTACGGCAATCTTTTATATTTATTTTACGTACCCCGTTCTTTAAAACAGGTGGCATTCTGATCGGAGATTGGGCAATCCGAATTATTGCGACACCTTACTCTCAAGAGAATTAGACCATGTTCAATGTGGGATCAATAACGTACGTTTGTATTCTTTATTTCTTTCAGTGAAAGTGGCAAAGTGCTCACGCAAATGAAGGCGGGCGATTTTTTCGGGGAGATCGGCATTTTGAACCTGGACGGCTTCAACAGGTACGTGTAAGAACGTTACCCTCCCTTTACTTACCGCGCGGACATATAAATGGAAGGAAATGTAACTTTACCTCAAGTGCTACCTCAACCTGGGCAGGGCCCTATCTCCGATTGACTAATGAAAGCTATGAGTTGGACAAATTGTCTGTTTCATGTTAGGTATTAATTAGTACATGCATATTTCACTTTACTCAGAAAATATATTCCTGTATAAGTAATCGTTGTGTAGGAACTATTCGTAACCAAGCCATAAGAAATTTCAGGATCGAAAGGCAATTCACATGTTTAATGTAAACTTAAAGACAAAAAGAAAATGACAGCTCCGCATTCTTTAGTGTTTTGGAGCACACTTGCTTTGAGCGTGGTCCCGTTCAGTTGCAACTATGTTGTCACGCTATCAATGTTGGAGAAATAGTTTTGTTGCTACGCACTTTCTCTACTGTCTGTTGTGCCTTGAGAGTTATTGCTAATTAAGTTCGAGTGGGTAACATAGTAACATGCTCACAACAGCAAATGATGATAAAGCTCGCAACTCAGATAGTTACTCCTGCCGGTTTTGATATAAACCTCCGTTGTACAAGCATGCAGTCTTGTAGTTTGCTATAACATAATGCATATCAAAAGTACTTGGCTGGCAGTCGTGCTTCGGTGAATATTTGAGGTAATAGTGGACAAACATTGTACGAGCGCGCTGTGTATACTCGACACGAATGACTGAAGGCACATTTGCAATTTTTAGCTTAAATAAAATCATATGCAAATTAAACTCCGTGTGAAGCCAGTACATTGAACGCTCTATCAAATTGAACGAAACGTTGATTGCTAACTAACATCTAAACTTTTTCTTGTTTTTAATGCTAGGAAGTAACTCCTCCAGTTTTGTCGTTTTCTTTGTTCCTCCAGGAGAACTGCAGATGTTCGTTCGGTGGGTTACTCCGAGCTGTTCAGTTTGTCCAGGGAAGACGTGCTCTCTGCCATGAAGGACTACCCCGAAGCGGAGGTAACTTCCATCCCTGCCATGCCTTGAACTGCGTTTCCTCGTTACCGCGAGGACGCTTTGAAATGGCTCACAACTAACCCAAATTTAATGTAAACATTTAATTGTTCACTTCCTATTTCGTAGGTTATTCGATTATTCTTTCACGCTTTACTGTTATTAAAAAGGCACTCCATAGCGAACCTCTATGTTTAATGCTTTGACCAAAAAATTAAGACTTCCGTGTAAACTCTACGTCAGCTTCGCTCGATCATTAAGTCTCAGCTTTGAAGCAGCAACATAGAAAGCACGTGTTTGTCGGCGTCACAAATAGCGTAACCCTATAATGAAAGGGCACCCCTGGTTGCTTGAAACCCGCTGCTAGCTATGACCGGATTGTTCTTCGAGCCTCGTCGATTTAAGACAGGGCTCCCTCGATTTCAAAAGAAGAACATAAAACCCCGAAGTCTAGCTGCTGTCTATAAAGCGATGCCCTTCCCTACTAAAGCTATACAATCGCGACTGCTGTGTCAGTGGTGTGCATATAAGAAGCTTGACCTAAATTCTACAAAATCACAAGTGATAACGCTATCACCAAAAACTCTCGGCGTTTACTCAGATTTCTATTTCGGTACAGCTATTATAAAGCGTGTGTCATTTGTGCGTCACCTAGGTGTAATGCTTGTTGAAAAACTGAACTTCCATAATCGTGTTCGTGTGATCCCTTTATCATATTTTAGAGCGTTGGGTACTGTCACTCGCCCCAATTTAGTGTTTCGCAACATTTTGTTTTTATGTCTTGTTCAGAACCTCATTTTGCCAAAACTAGATTTTGCATCAGTTATTCGGAACAACTTGCTCAAGGCCACTGCTGTGGCGACGTGAGAACGAGTCGAAAAGAGATGTGCCAGAACGTTTCATGCTATATAGAACTTGTCTCAGTCCTACTCTTATCAAAATGCAATTCATGTTTTAAGTTTGACGAAATTCAAATCTAGGCGAGGAAGTGGTAACCTGATATTTTTGTTCAAGTGCGTGCCTTCCTATTATGACTGCTCTATTATAATATCCTATATCCAGATTAACGACCATGTGAGACATTTTCGCTGCAATTGAACATTTGAAATTAACCCCATGCATTGTCTGTCCTTACTAGTTCGCATTTAAAACTTCTTTAATCATCTAGAGACATTGTTTGTTTACATTTTTAACTACGACCTTTTGCTGTCGTAAAGGAGCCCGCTCTTGTTAGTGTATTTTTGCAGCGTTGTGTTATAATAATTTTTTTGTGCACTACCGTTATCGGCCCAGGCTCGTTGGTAGGCGCAATACATACATATATACATACATACATACATGCATGCATGCATGCATGCATACATACATACATACATACATACATACATACACATCGCGACACTGTTAGCGCGAACACGACATCGGCGCCTTTTCGCATTTTATCAGCAAAGAGCATTAGTGGGCACACATTTTTACCCCTTATATTAGAGCACTAGATGAGCTCTTTCTATAAAAATAATATCTTTGATGACAACTTTACGGTTCTAAGTGAAAAGCACAGAAAACTAGCGATCGCTTGTTCGCGCTAACAGTGTCGCGCTCTGTACATACATACATACATACATACATACATGCATACACACACACATATACATACATACATACATACATACATACATACATACATACATACATACATACATACATACATACATACCAGGAATCGACAGTATTACAAATACAAGTATTTTAAATACGTATTTAAAATACTTTGACTATTTTCTATATCGTATTTAATTAGATATTGGCAAATGTATGTGCCAACTGTATTTAAATATTAAACAATTTAGTATATCAAATACTGCCCAAATTCAATTTCGGGCGCTGTTTGTTCTTTTGTTTTGTTGTTTCAATCAAATGCGATATTATACACTCTTTGCGGTGGCAGTCATAGGCAAAGAGCGTTACCATGTTGCGCTTTACTCATGAGAAACGCGCAAGAAAAAAGAAAGGAAAGTTAGAACTTGGAACGAACAGAATGAGTACAATTATTGACTTTTCGGCATCTAAAAAGACGTCGCTTTAATCACATGCTGTCTGAAAAGGCTTCGTTGCTTCAACAAATACCTTTCAGATTAAACTCGTACTATGAATACATTTTGTTCCCTTGTGTATCGCCCGCCTATCTTATGACAACCAACGTCTATATTTAGAGCAGCAACTTTTCTTTTAAGCGCTTGATTCTTGTTGTATATAGACTCCACTCTTTATTTGGGCACACAGACTTTTTTTTTTATCCGTGGTTAAATTTAAGTTTGAGATGTCGGCCTATGGGAGCAAAATGTATTTGTAAAAATATTGTAAGGTGATCAAATGCTCTCGTTGCATTTGTATCTTGTATTTAAATCATTTTCTCAAAATATTAAACGAAGACACTTAAAACTGCTTACGTGTAGGAATGCCAAAGCATTCCTACACGCAGCGCATTTCTACAAGCAGCCCATGCCACGTCTTTCGTCTTCACACAGCGCTCCGGCGGTGACATCACGCTCCCCCATTGCGCAGGCGCAGCGCCCGCGCTGGTTCAACGACTTCAGTGACGATGCATCTGCGTTGCTGTGCTTTTCTTTGTGTTTTATTTTTGGAGCCCTTCCGCTTTAACCTTGAGCACCCTGGCGGCTTCCGTGACGAAGCATCTGCGTTGCTGTGCTTTTGGCCAATGGGACTTTAGGTGCCGTTTCGCTCAGCCAATGGGAATCGAGGTGCCTTTTTTCTCTGCTACAGACAACGATCGACGGCTTTGCTCCGGGGTGAAGTTAATAATTCCGCATTAAAATTGTAATTGGACTTATAATTAAACACATTTTTGTTGAAGTATTTTCTACTTGTTTTTCGACATATTTTTGAAACTTTTTTCTATTATTGGTACATACGTACATAAACATACATTCGGGAACACTTGAAAACAATACATACGTCACGCTGGCTCCTATGGGGAAGACGGCGACTGCAACTTTAAACGTGTACACTACACTTAATCCTGTCTCTCCCAGGAGTCACCATGATGAATTTTAAGGAATCTGGTGCATCTAGTCTCCCACAGAGCACTTGGGAGGTCCGATCACTGCAATCTACGAAAGGACCTTGGCGAATGACCAGGCTGAAATCATGTGTGGTTTTGTACTTTTATACTGCACATGACGTGTGTACTTTTACACTGCAAATGACATAAGCCCGTGAAACGTCATGTAGTGTGTGACAGCGCTGGCTGTGATTTATTTCTAAGGACCAAAGGAACTTTAGGCCGCGTCATTCGCCGAGCTCTGTTGGTAGATTACAGCCACTGACTTTTCCTAATGTTCTCCTCGAATGTAGACGCGCTAGCTATTTGCAGATTGCGACCACAACGGAGAGTCCCACTGACTATCCAAGCGTACACAGCGTGGAAGATCATTCCCCAAAAATCTCAAAAGTGTAGCGTGGCGTATCTGAGACGTGTTCCTCGCGGCGTGCCGCAGGAGATCCTGCAGGCGATGGGGCGCAAGAGGCTTATGGAAGCCCGCCGGGCGGCGTCCGTCCGCAAGGGCGACGACATCATCTCCCGCACGTCCCACGGTGGTCCCATGGAGGCGAACGCGCCTTCGCCCCAGGGCTCCGTGCACTCGCGCGGACCCAAGTCCATGGATGCCATGCGCAAGCTCAAGAAGGACGTCAAGAACCTCAGGCAGCTGCTCAGGAACCGCACCAACACCACGTGAGATGTCCGGACAGCTCTTTTTAATGCAGAAGCCTTTCTAACCGAAGCGGAGTTGGGACTTGTGAAGCCGTAACCGTAGACGGGGCATAGCCGTGTCGTTCCGGCGGGGGCCTGGTTATCTAGGAGCTATTGCACGCAGCTAATAAGAAAGCTTAGCATTGTTAGTCGATTTTCGGAGAATAACCGAGCATTGACAGGGCACCAAGAGAGTTTGCTTAGGTTTTGGAAATGCAAAGTGATTGTGAGAGTATATTCTAATCGGCTGCACTGAGTATATATATATATAGTTTACAGCTAAAAATAGAAGGAATCTGGCGAGTTGCAAACCGCTAACGAGGCATTGATCCAAAAGTGCAATCCGCATCATAAGTAGTACTACTGTGGCCCCTCCATGCTATCTGAATGGGATAGTGCGTGCAAACCTTTTTGCGGTGTAATACAAAACGCTACATCCTGACTAAGAACGAGTAAACTTAGAAAGCGGGAAATGTGTGTCGACACTTGAGCGCTCGTTTCCTTAGCACCAGTAATGGTAACAGTAAAGCGTGAGGCATATGCGCGTAAAAACTGTCCGACCAGACGTGCGAACTGTCGGAACGATCAGATACGACAGGTTTGGTCACACCGGAGCGTCGGACGGGCCTCCGTCCGGCTCCTGCATGCGACCAACTTGCCTAACATTCGCCGCACGGCAGTCCAGCTGTCGGAGAAAAATTGGGTTGTGTGTATGTTTATACATCCTAGAACTTGGTCTGCCTCAACGGGCGACGAGTCTCCCAGTTGTAGATGGGCAATTTAGCCAGTGCAGTACAACCGCTAGCCTGGGGTCTTTAACGTGCATCACGCATGCAGTAGTGATACACGACCGCACGCCGGTACAATGCTCATCCAGATCGAAACGGACAGGGGTGGGGATTGAGCCCAGGATCCTGGGTTCTGCAGCGCGAGCTTTCGCTCCACGTGCTCCGAGCTGGTGTGCGCTAGCCCACTAGGCCACCGATCCCCCTAACTGTCGGAGGACCGCAGCCGGTGATAGCACGAACGACGCGAAAGTCGTGTTGTCATGCGACAATCGGCCCTATCGGGGGAGGAGGTGCTGGCCAGAGGAACAGGGTGTAAGCGGTGCATCACGCGAGGAGTCGTCAAGGAAAGCAATGGGCGCCATGGAGCTTTCCCGAGCGCACGAAACGAGCTGCTGATTTCCAGCATCCATAGCAAGCCGGACTTCTGGAACCGCTCGAGATCGCCGAGACACGAATATGCTCCGTTTCACCTTACGATGGACGGCAGCGGATGACGAGCCATTCCAATGCCGTGTGGGCGTCACGTGATCTTCGGGAAAGACGCAGCAATACGCGGTGTGCGTAGTCACGTGATTTGTATGCCGTGCTCGTTTCACTAGGATAGCTCCTAAAGGCCGCTGCGGTCCATTGTGATTAGTTCATGTTGAACAAAAAATTAACCTCACGTAAATTCTTCAAAGACACGCACACGTTAATGGCATACAACAAAACAGTTTGTTTTGTTTTAAAGCCAGAAAAACCATACATTAGAGGGGCGAGGGGAATAAAAAGTATTTTGGTCTCTAAGCTAGGTGGCGCAAGCTACCACCCCTTATATATACAACAGTTAGCATCCATCCATCCATCCGGTAAAGGGATACCTGGAGCTTAGAGGGTTGAACGAAACAACGCCAAAGAGGCATCGGAAGCATGTGTCTTGAACTGTCGCGTGCGGCGAGTCGAGCAGCCATTTTTACAATGATTTGTAAGTCGGATCGAATAGCTTTGTCGCGCATGTGTCTCGAACTTAAAAGTAATAGTAAAGAAAACACTTTACGGCTTTAACAATCTACACCAGACGCCGGTTTAGCAATGCCTGCTTTTCACACTTTTCCTGCACGCGTGGCTCTATCGTTTCTGGAAGCTAGTGCAACAACAGTTTAACACCAAAGTTTTATACCGAATCTCAGAGGGTTCACGCTAGTGAAATATACTGTATGTTAAGCATAAAAGGCGGTAGTAGCAAAAGACATTCAAATTTTGTAAGTTTGTGGAAATATTTTGAAGACATTCAACTACCCAAGCCCGCCTTTGAATGGTTGGTAGTAAAATAAATACAAACATAAAATGACTGGTTTTGGACCTACAGCTATCAATAAGGTAATATAGTTTTACGTCCTTTGTAATAATATCTGTGAAATGTTAATGAAATAGTATACACTTTTGTTAATGAATTGTTTCGTTTTTCACTGAAAAGGACTCAGAAACCACCAGAAATTCAGCTTGAAATGGAGCCTGTGATGTCATCAGTGGAGGAACACCATGATGACAGCGACGTCGGAACACCCTCAACACCTGTAGCAAAATCGTTACACAAGTTGTTCAGGTAAACATTTTTGTAGGCGCAATGGGTTTTAAAATTGTAGAATATTAAATTTGTTGGGAAACTAGTGCCTTGCAGCGATTTCCAGAAATTAAAACTCTTAAAGCGAAAGGGTTAATTTCACTTAGGATTCTAACCTTAAAAAATATAGAAATTCATTACCGAAGTTTATATATTATCTGGTGACCTATATTACAACAGGCGTCTTCGGGGCACACCTTATGTTAAATCTGGATATGCAATAACCGTTGAGTAACTAATCTGTTTACAATAATTAAAGTTCGCTTAAAGAATATTTCCGCAGAAATAGATGAAGCTATTTTAATTATAAAACCTTGGACAAGCATGATAGCCATCTGATACATTATTCTTTATGACTTTACAGAAAATTTCATAGCCGCCAGGAATCACAAGGTGGTCAAGCACTCAAAGGTAAAAACACATCTGATTGAAGCCAATCTACTTGGTCAGGGTTGGTGCAGAGTAGTCTCGACGAAGTAAAGCCCTCTGGACCTCTAAGTTCTGAAAAAAATCTTAAAGGTGCACTAAAAGAGTTTTGACCTTTTTGTAATTAAACCAGACGGTACAGGGACACAGAGAACGATTAACTCACATGCGTAAATTGCTTTGATTTAAGAAAAGCAGGAAAAAGATAGTAATACTTTTTCTTTCCTACTGATGTGCTAAGGATAAATAAGAAAAATGTCAATCGACGCCAATCGTAACGGCGCTCAATGTAACTGTGCCAGCGACAACCACGGTTTTTCCAAACTTTGCCCTTTCCCTTCAGCCGTGTGATTCACCGTTCACCGTTAAGTCAAAGGATGTTTCTACATCTGCGGTCAGTTAGGCACAGGTTATGTACCTTTTAAAAAACAGTGACATTTTCTGTCCGCTTATTGCAGGAGGGTCCCGACCTCTGTAAAAGCCACCGCGATATTGCTAGATCATACTTGGGTGGCTGGTATTGGAACGTAGGTGATTGCTATTCTTCGCCGCTATACATGAAGTGTTTATTCGTTTGCAGGCATTGTAACAAGTATTTCGTGCATCAAAGGTGAAGAAGAGGTGGTAGACCAAAGCAGAAAAACTACTCTTCGTAAACTAGGTACATCGCTTTCAATGGCTTCTTCCCAAGAAACTACTCCAACGCAGCCAATAGGCGCCGGCTTACCTTTACTAACGCGCATCAGAATGCTTAGGGAAGCAGAAAAATCGTCCAAGCAACCAGTTTCGGATACATCCAATTCAGGTGGAACTCAACCGCGGAGGGAGCTTCTTCCAGGTTCTCACGAGAGAAGCTCGCGGTTAGAAGCTCCAGCCAGCGCTCATTCTAATTTGTTCGAAAGGCGAAGACTGTCGAAATCGCAAGCCGTTTCTACAGAAGCAAAGTCGGTAGACAAGCCTCGAAAAAGCCTTGCCGAGAATCTCCACAGGCTAATGTCCGGTAGCGATACATCGGCCAAACACGCTCCGGTAACATTTCAAGTTCACGCACCTGTCGAACCCCCAGCTGACGTCACGAACCAGAACATACCGTTGCTAAAAAGGGTGCTCCTACTCAAAGCGATGGAAGAAAAGTTAGATAGGGAAAAGCAAGCGCATCCTCAAGCCACTACTACCACTGAACAAACAAGTGCCTCAAGCAAAGCCGCGCTCACCAAGCTGTCGCCCCCACGACCAGACACCCTGTCGTTAATTTCGCAGGAAAAACCACAACATCTACCCGATACATCGAGCGCAGCTGCCACGCAGCCGCCTAAAAGTCGTCTCTTATCCCCCAAATTCGAGTTGGAAGATGAGGTATTTCGTAGTCCAAGTCCAAAAAAAGAAGACCGCGACATTCGGTCCTCGTTCCACGAAACTGGCAGTGTTTCCGGCGAGCATCTAGTTTCCAGGCCACCTCTTAAACAGGTAGTCGTAAAACCGCACGAGAAAGTACTGCACACGGCGCACACGTTGGCAACCTTGGAAGAACAGCCGAGCTCTCTCGATTCGTCTACCACGGAAGCACAAAATTCACAGAGCGATAGCCAAGCAAAGAGGACGTTGAAGATGGCGGCACCCCAGGGGGCACCAGTGGCAGTGGCAATGGCGCCCCGACCTTCAGCCACGTCCTTCAGAAGCAGATTGTGGAACAGGAACAGCTTGGAAGGACATGCAGCAAGGAGGAGCCTTCTTCGAAGGATGGAAGCTGTTGAAATGGAGTCTCAAGACGCTTCCCAAGTTCTGCGAGGGAACGTCGATGACTTGAGGTCACCCAACAACGGACCGTCGAGACAAAGATTCCGAAAGGGGGTCATCGATGGCCAGTCTCCAGACACAGATCTGGAGCAGAGCCTTGTGTCCGGACTATTGCGTCAGGAGGACGGCATCGAGCAGTACGTCGCAGCAGCCATGAAGCACATCAAGCTGGCGTTCAAAACGTATCTGGTGCGTGGTCAAGCTATCTTATGAATAATGCATTTGAAATGGATGTGAGCGTTTATTTTTAGTTAGTTTACGTCGCACTTGTTTAAGTAACCTTTAAGTCTCTCGGAAATCTGCTTCACCAAAGTTGACTACTTTCCAGTTATTCATTTGACGTATCAGAATCAGTATAGTAGTTTATACATTTTATTTCGAAAGCTGATAAATTATACTTTGGGATACCTTGAAGATACATTTTGCAACCTAACATTTAGTTTAAAAAGTAATTGGGAAATTAGCTTAAAATTATAAAACCCGATGAATACGGTACCATAAAAATGTTTGCCTTTACCAACAAAAAACAAATCGTCGTTTGTTTTTTATTTTCTTTTTTATAATTCAAGGGCTCCACCGTTCGGCCATCTGGGCTGACATACCATATTTTCATAGATGTCGGTTTGTTTTGTCTGTGTTTTGCTCGTTTAACTTGAAAGAGCAAGGCAACCCACGTGACTCAGCCAACGCCTTCTAGATGAAAGGACGTGAGGCTGTATTTTTTACGGCCTCTACCGTTAAAAAAATAGAGTATCAGCTAAGGGCTGGCCCTCGTATTGCCATTGATTGAGCACGAGTCCCAACCGAAAATACTGGCGCAGCACTCGTATTCAGGCCGTAAAAAACCCAGCTCTACGATATTGTTATCTAGAAGGCGTTGGTTCAGTCTGCCATTAACAAACAGTGAACATGTTGTTTTCGTTCCGTTCAACTATGTATTTTAAAGAAACCTACACTTCAAAACTTCATAATGTAAAATTGATAGTTTGCTAACCGGGAGGGAGCACTGAAGTTTTTTTCTCGTTTCTTGACGGCTGAAATGTTTAATCTAGCCTATACTTTCGCACTACGTTATAATGAACACTTCTTTTTATATCTGGAAATATCAACGGTGAACATATCGGGTGGCGAAAAATGGCTCTAGAGGATTTTTTCGATGCCTGCCCATAAACAAGATGTATTAAACAAAACAAAAAAAAAACGCTGTTCTTGCGGTCGCTATCGCTTTATAACGTCCGGACCGTTATCACCCTCGTTCACTTCCACTCTAGCACTAAGTCATTACACACATTAACAACGTAGAGATCAGAGCCAATCACAAATCAAAATCAAGATCAAAATATACCCTCGTATCATATAGGTAGACATTAAATTTCGCACATTTTTATAAATTGTCAACCAAGTTCCGTTTGCCTGAATACTTGTTTGTTGTGCTACTCTACATAGCATGAAACACATCTCCAGCTGAACTCCAAGATTTCGCAACTCGAGGAAGACATCAAAAAGAAAGATGCCGTGATATGCGACCTACGAAGGAAACTGCTTCTTCAAGTAAGTAAGCGGTTACCGTTTCCAACGAAACACAATTACTGATAAGTAATCATCTTCCACAATGTACCAATACGACCTAGAAACTTTTCTACTATGGTTTAGCGTTTACTTCTTTTGTCATCCCAAGAGGAACTAAAGGCAGTGACAGCACTGTTAGGCCCGAGAGTGTCCAAGTCCTCCCCCCTTTTTCGAGAGTGTTCCTCGTGAAAACAGGCCTAAGATGCTTCTGGAGCAGTAATTAGTTTGAGCTTGGTTTTCTACCCCACTTTCTCGTGGTTATTAAAATTACTTTTTTGTGGTTGCTCTTTATTGTTTTTAATAACGTGCGTCCTTGAATCCTTCCAACGACAGTTTGTCATGATGCAGCTTCTAAGATACTCATTTTCATGTACTTTTTGTCGGCTTTGAAAACCTTCGTATTTTCTTATTGACGGTTTCGTTGATTGCTAAGACAGCGTTCAATGGCGGCATCGTAAAAAAAGGAACAATATTGACAAATATGTCAAGGTTCTACACAAACCGTTTGTGGAAGTACACTCTGGGTTTTGATTATCACATTGCCTGTCATAGCACTTGTTTTCCATAGAGAAAACATGATTTCATCTGATCGCCACGTGCTATATCAGTGTTTACAATATCCGTTCCGATAGAACATATGCTTATATTTGACCTCCACGTGACATCTTTGCTTGCAGGAACAAGAGCTCAGTCGCCGTGAACTAAGTTATTTAGAAGAAGTGAGCAGCCTGAGTGATACCAGTTTATCCTGGTCCGATGAAGACGAGCTCGTGCTAACGGTGAGGCCTTTCACTAACTCTGATGAGAGCGTCAATGCTTTCAAGTATTACGTATAATTTCTCTAAAATACAAGCGGTAAAAACGTACATGAACAAAAAGGGAAGCAACGCCGTGTCGGAAGAATAGCCTGACGGATATGACGTCTCAGGCTTCTAAACTGCAAAACTTAGCGTGTTGATGGGTTATTTATGTTTACACTTTTTAATGACTTGAGAAAACGGCAAATTAAAGATACCTTATAAAATTAGGTCAACTGAATGAACTAAACAACTGAACACATGACACTTTTAACCATCTTATAAAATTGGTTGTCCTGAGTTGACAGCTGCGGGACGTATTCTTACGTCTCAACTGCACCGATCAGGTTAACGTAAGCCTCGGTGCAACTAATCAAATCACGCTAACAAACATTTATTAACCTTGAAATTATAGAGACTAGAAATCTGTGTATGTGAATAATGTAAAACAGTGGTAAAACACACACCAGCTATTGACCTTTTTTCGCGTTCGCGATTGTAAATGAGGCGCACTTGATACGTAAGAACAAGAAAATAAACCGTCAATATCATGATTTTATTTTAAATAAAAGCAAACGATCCGCCGTTTAATTGCAAGCAGTTGTAAAGAATCCTGCCATTTAGCCCCAACTATACCTGCAGAGTTAATGTGTGAGCTTCCCGTGGACCCTATGAATCCACAGAAGACACGCTTCTGCCATTCTAGAGCTCAGGTCCATGTCACTAATCACGCTCAATTTTGCTATACCTGCCAAGTAAGTCCCGGCTACATGACCGTCAAGAGACATATGCGGCATTCGTCGTCATCCAATTCGCCATAGATCACTCTGTCCAGAACCTTATCCTCTACTTCCAGCATATTTGGCACGGAGGAAAGTCCGACTCCATTTCACGGCACTGAATATGGACGGTGCATGAGCGTCTTTAATTTTTTTTTTTTGTCAACTATCACGCGTCTGAAACTTCCGCATGCGTAAACACCCTTTAGTTTATTCTACTTATGTAACTGTGCACATTCCCTAAAATGTTCTTAAATGAAAAAGCTTGTTTATATTTGCACTTTCTATCCTTTCCTTTATTTAATGTATTTTTAGAACCCTTTTGAGAGTAGCATTTTGCGAGGATATACCTAGTAAGGGTAGTTTTACGATCGCAGTAATCCCGAACATTCAACTCCTTTTTTTCCACAGCTCTTCCATCCTCGCCTTCTCGATGTTCTTTAGCTTCCATTGTATGAAATATGTGAAGCTAGTAAGAGATCGGACTGCATGGGACTGAGTAACTTCCTAGAGGCATGTGTGGTTTTTATTAAGAAAAACTTAATTAGAGAACAAAAACAAATAAACAAAGAAAAAATATTTAAGAAAAATTGACATAAAGGCTAAGGAAAGAAAATCATGATGCTTTAGAAACGTCTAATCGATTGCAGGTGCCTTTCCAGAAAAACTGCCGATCGCCCTTCTGGTTGTTGTTTTTTTTTTTTTTGCTTTTAGTTACGTTGAAATATTTTTATAAATATAAAAAACGGATTATTCAAAGTTGGGAATATGTTAACTTCATTTTTATTTCCTCCTTAAGATTCCTCATTACATGCTCCCGCAAGGTGCCTCCTTCGAATGCCCGTGGAAATGCAAGAAACATTCCTGCATGCTGTCACCTGATCAGTCACCCATTCACCTTTCTATTGCTTAAGGGGTCACTAAAACGGATGTTGAGATCGCCTTTCTATGGCGTAAACACTATATACGTGTCATATCTTATAAGCATCCTAGAATGCCGCGTTACGTCCTTTCTCTAAAATATATCGCAGAAAAAAAAAAGGTGGGTCGTGATATTTAGTTGCGTTTTATTGTGGAAAAAAATTACACACATGTTTGTAATTTGAGATATTCTAGGGTGCTTATGGCGCGTACATTGAGTTTGCGTTATACAAAAACGATTTGAAAACTCGCTGTAGTGCCCCTTTAAAGCTTTCTTTTAATTCTTGGCCGGTTCGAATCTGGGTGTCTCTCCCGGGGGTTAAAATATCCGCACAAGGGATTTTGAGGTCACGTGACCGTCTCCGTGGGAAGAAGTAGCCAGCGTTACAGGCGACTCCGCTCAGCAGACGTCAGCCTTGCCGGTCGTTTTCTTTATTTCTCGTGGAACGCGACCTTCCCCCAACCTTACGTGCCGTACCTAGAGTGCCCGATTGCGATTCATCCCGCTCACATTTGAGGCCTTTTCACCGTCTTTGAGCGTACCAAATCAAACTTGAATAATTGAAGTGAGAGTGGACTTACGGCAGCCGTTCGGAATTGAACGCTCGCTACGTTTAGTGTCTTGTCCCCACGAAGCCGGTCACAGCACCTCAATATCCCTTTAAGGCCCTGTCACGCTGAGGCAACAACGGCAACAGCAACACAACACGTTGTCCAACAGTCAGGCAACTTGTTGCTCGCTCCCCGTGTTGTCCGAAAAACCTGTCACATCGCGGCAACAGCAGCACAACATGGACGACAACAAAAATGTTCACTCGGCATGACAACTTTTGGCAGCAAAAACAGTAGCAACTTGTGTTGGACAGCGTGTGTTGCCCTGATCGCTGACTGAGTGAATTTCGGGCCGGCAATACGACACCACAGATATAGCTTCCATGGCAGAGCTGGTTCCCTATGAATAACGTCTTGCTTACTTAAATAAAGGCTTCTAAAACGTTATTTAACTATAATTAAGGCTGGCGTGCAGCTAGAATACTTTGATAAATGTTTTTACTGCGGAATTACGGAAAGCGATTGTCGAAATGGTCACAGATGTGGTCGTGAATGTTTAGAGTAATGTTAAAATTAGAGCTGTCGAGAGACCAGCTCACATTACTGCTAGTGAAATAAAATTGCATGCCTACTCACCCGATGATGAAGTATAATTAAAATAATTCAGGAAGGCAAACATTAAAAGATCTAAGCAATAAAATGACCATTTTGATCCTGATTGTTGATGCTTGGAACTTGGAAACAGCGCAACCAGACCTGGTTTGTTTAAAAAATACACAGGACGTTTTGTGGAATGAAGCGACCACATAGCGGGTGATAGGCAAATAGGCAGCGTTGAAAATTATTTATTCCACCGATTGTTATGAAGGTCGATCGTGTCGGTGTCGTAGTGTTTAAGCACTGTCAGTTCAGTTCAACACCCCGCTACAAGAGACGTTGTGGCTACTGCCGGTACTAACTCAATTTTACAGTAGAAATAGGAATAGCATGAAGGAAAGAGCCCGACAGAAACACTTCATACGGTTTTCCTCGCTTAGGGCTATCTGATTTGTCAACGAATGAAGTACATTTTGATAAAATAAAGGGCGAAAACTGTGTCAATTTCTATAATCTCAATCACTGGTCGATGTCGTCTCGAGGTAGTTTCCGGCCCTTCGACCGCACAAGCACTTTGTAGAGTCACACTTCCAGTGACGCCGCGCTGCACACGAACAAAGGTAAACAATCAACGTGGCGGAGTGTTCGTGTTGTCCCCGCAGTCAGCGTGGTGTGACAAGGTGGTCAGACAGCAAATCGGCCAACACGGTTGCCGGGCGGCTGCAACATATTGTCCGACTGTTTTTGTTGCCACGATGTGACAGGGTCGCCGGTAAAACTATTTTCTCGTGTTGCCGGATAGAGTTGTCCAACTGTTGCCTCAGTGTGACAGGGCCTTTAGCGGCTGCTTTAAGCGTTGGAGGGGTACCCGCATTCACCGAAAAACCAGCCCAGGTGTTCCATTTAGTCCTTCTCCCGTGGTTTGTGCGCCTCCCGTACCTCATGGGCACCCCGCACTCTGTTCATGTCCACCAGACCGGGTCTGTGGATAGCGCCCGCGCAGAGCCCCTCCTCGAGGAGGAGGAGGACGATGCCGAGGACGAGGACCGGGCCGACGCCGAGGCCGAGGCCTGTCCCGCCGTCCCTCCCGAGCACATCCCGGCACGGGGCCGGCCTTTCCTCTACTCCTGGCCCAGACCCAACCTCCCCAACTCGCGCTCGCACCGGCACCGCACCTTCCACAGCTCGTCGTGGCATGAGCCTTCACTCTCGGCACTGGCATCCGACTCTGCACTGTGTGGGGTACGTGTCGGACGGCCGCAGAAGAGAACTGTCGCGTGCGCTGCGCGCCGCTTAACTTCGAGGCCCCCGAAGCACAAATGGCTTTCACTTGTCATCATCACACTATGTTGGAAGGCATTCTTACTTGTTCTTGCCAAGAGAAGCAAATTCTGTTGTGTGAAATGAATGCTGCAGAAGTACGCACGCAGCAGCATGCTCACCACGACAGCCGCTGCTGTTGTGACGTAAATGTAAGCGATGTGTACATTTGTATTGGCGCAGCGTCTTTAAAAAATATATATATATCGAACAAAAGACCAATGGCAGTTCTTCAGAGTAAAATGCGAAGTGACGTTATTAGAAAATTACAGACTTTTTGTGGACCAAAGACTTACTGACGACTTCATAGCAAACCATTTTTATGCTTGATGTTCGAGTTTGAACATTCTAATTAACTGGGGTTAATTGTACAATTCCTCTGGCAAGAAATTCGTGTGTTGTCTAAAATCACAGTAATTCTCACAGGCGTCCGCAGTCTGATCTAAGAGAACATTCTTTGACTTTCTGTAATTTCAACGACAGATGGCTGCTGCCAGGCTCAAACCGGAAGACCTGTGGAAGCTTGAGTTTCCCGCAAGCCAGGAGCAATCCAAGGCCACGAGCATGGAACATCTAAGCAGGCTGAGCAGCAGCAGCTGTACCACCCTGCCAGATTTCCCGACGCAGTTCAGCCCACCGGTTAGAGCAAGTAGCGTGACTTCACCGCTGACCTACAAGCGACCTCCCTCATCTTCGAATTCGGATGATTGGGAAGTCAAAATGCTCGTTGAAGAGTTTGAGAAAAAGATTCAAGAAGACGAGGGCAGTCGCCGCCATTCGTGCTACGATCCATTATCATGGAACAGAGTGCTGTCGAGAAATCTCAACCACGGTGATCTCCTGAGGCGCCAAATGACGACAGCGTCGCCGTTCGGATCGCAGGAAGAAGGTCGCAGGAAGCATTTGCGACGGAAGCATAGCCTTCGAGACGACCGGATGTTGCGCAGCCTAGCAACCAAGCAGCCAGCGATGGATGTAAGGCCTAAATTAACGAGGTTTGCTTCCTTGGACATGCCCCGGTATCACCGGTACAGGCATCTTCATCAAACTAACCAGGGAGATGACTTTCCAGGGTTTGACCCTTTTCCCGAACGCGCTTCCAGCGACCAGCTGCGGCCAGCATCGAAGGCCGCGCTCAAACGGCGAGCTTTCTGGCAGTCCAAGCAGCGCCAGAACTCTTTCCTGTCCTGCCAAGCTCCAGCTGGACAGGACCAACAGAGGCTTCTAGCCTGGCGGAGCTTGGACGAAGAATGTGAGACAAATGTGATAGACGCCAGTGAGCACCACAGCGCTCAAGAGACTTCATTCTCGAACGAGTGTCTCTGGCATGCCGACCAGACACCGCAACACCGGCAGCAGCATCAGCTGCCGCAGCAGTCACATGCTTCCAGCTCATACATAGCGGGATGGCCATCTACGCCTTGCTTGCCTACCATCAAAGAAGATGCGGGTCTGCCCAGTCGCGACAGCAACGTCCAGAAACTTGGAGCTAGCGGTTCGAGAAGCTATAGCGAAAATTGTCTCGCGGACGCTGGCGCCGCGTCGCTACCCCAGCTGTCCCTGACACGGAGGAGCTCCTCGAGCAAGACAGGGACGTCGTCCGAGACGTCGACGGAAACCACCATTCACGAGGACGACTACCGGGCCTCGAAAAACGTGACGGCGCTGCACATGAGTGAGGGCGAGGGAGACGGACAGGAGGTCATTCCGGCCGTGCAGGATAAAGGAGACAGCGTAGCGATATCTATACCTGATACTGAACACATCTGGAGTTTGCCCTAGCGCTACGATAATTGTCACTAGTCCGCATGTAGTGCCTTCCTCGGTTTCGAAATTATTCAGGCGGAGAACCCACACGTGCAATTCACCCTCCACCCTGCTTCTGAGTTGCTTCATTGTCGGTGCCTGACTTGATTCTTCGTATTTTCATATCACAAAAATAAGCGACACAGCAAAAGGTCAAAATAAGTCACTTAAAAAATTGCTTTAATATTTTTCTTTTTTTGACTGTGAACAAAAATGTTTAAGGAGATCAAGACTTAACAGAGAAGCAAAAATAGACAAGTACCCTATTTTCCCCAGTCTCAGGGTTAATAAAAATGTTGCCATTGAACCAGTTTGTCAGTACACTTTTGTTACTTAAGAAAATACCAGTAGTATACAAAGGTTTAAAAAAATGCAGGGGACCGGGGGCTTTTTATGAGTTCTTTATTAATATACCCGCACACATTGCAGCGGAAAATAGGACGAAACACATGAAGTGTCGGACGCACCCCAGGCACGTTTTAGAGTAAGACACTGTTGGAGCTCTATTTTCGCATCCACAAAGTTTGCTTACCTAGCCAATAATGCTGCAGGGCAAGAGATATCAAGACAAAGCGTATGATGGCTTCAAGTTATGCCGGCCTTCAGTCATGAAGTTTTTCGTTGACTGCACAATTTTCAAACGCAGGAAGGGCAGAGAAGCAGTGGTGTTAGTTCATCATGCTTTGCTTTCGGTGCCACTTGCGCATAAAGCGTATATTTTAGTCCACTTATTCACAAAATTATAACATATTTTCCGGTTATCGTGCTAACAACATTGAATCTTTTACTAGAAGGTATCTCAAAACTTGTCGTACTTTGTTTGGTGTCGGGTGCGCATGAAGCCCAATTTTACTGAGGTCAACGCAATAGGCACCTGAAATTTCAAGTTAAACCGTCTCACTCGTTGGAGATATATTATATATACTATGGTGTATAACTATGAATTAATACATTTTAAAAGCATAAGGGTTAGGAAGCTCTGCTCTGTGAAGATTCTTAAGAACAAGAAATTATAGGAGCAGTCGTCATAAACCTCTGGCGTATTAGTTATGATATTTAAAATTGCTCCTTTTTAACACTACTCAGTGAACGTTAGTCAAGTAGCATATGGATGAATGCAATTAATACAACCTGAAAGCCAGGGAAATAGAGAATCGTCAAAGGCCAACCCAAGCACACGGTCCTTTGAAATGGGATCAATGTTTGAATGCGTGAATGCGGATGCTCCCGTGATGCCTAGGATCACTTAGAGTCACCACAAGTACAAAACGTGCATGAAAAGTTAATTCAGCAGTGCGTACTACATGTAGACATTCCTGTTAAAGCACTTCCCATTCTCGTCCTCCAACCGTGTCCCGCTATATCTTCATAGTTACTTGCTTTGTGCTGAGGACGCCCTTCTTTTCCGTTTTTAAGTCAGATCACTTCGCACAGGCTGGTATTGTTCTCCATTTGTTTTGAGTTCACAGACAATCGGTTTATCGCGGTGTAATTTCGACATGCATAGTATGAGCATCTGGCTATGTTATACATAAAAACATTGTGCGTACTAAATTTAGTATTTATTGTTCATTCCTAATTAAAGCTTACTTAAAACTCTGACCTTATTGATCCGTCAGTATGTCACAACTTTGTGGAATTTCAATGAACTATATTTCCAAGACGTAACCCTAACATTCAGATGCCCACCGTGTAACGCCCGCTTCTGAGTACTGTCCTTTTAGCCATAAGTAAAAGAATACTGAAAAAATATATTAAAACAAAACGCGTGTCCGTTGTCATTCCTCGTTCATGTGACGTTGTCTTTAATGTGACGTTCGTAGCCAGTCTCTAGACGTTTCATTGTCTATGTGTGCACTTCCTTAACCTTGAGAAGCCTGGACTTTCGATTCTCTATTATTCCTGGCAGCGATTTCTTGAACCATCCTAATGGATGTGGTGTGAATAGGATGTCGAGGACACAGTGCCATTGGTACTTTCCAAAACTGAAATTCTGTAGTCCTGTTGCTTCCCTAAGATCTGAGTTAATGTTGTACGCCAAAACAGGAAGTATGGTCATGAAATTATCTCTAGTCAAACTTTCAATGTGAGGTGCATTTACAACGTTGAACTTCGGGTTGAAACTGTTTAATTACCCATACAAATATATTTACACAGAGGTGCAATTATATTATAGTGTTATATTCGTGCATAGAATATATGAGACAGGCTATTTCTCTTGTATAGTTTCTTTTATCATTAACGCGCAACAAGCACAGGTTAGCCGGTATTGTTATGCGTACTATAGTTTATAGAATACAATAAACTTTAATATCATCACAGTGTAGATGGCATTATGTATCAATATATTATAGGCGCACTTGGTAGGCAAAAGGTGTCCCGATTGTTAGGATAAGCGTAAAAGACAATGTCATGCTGAAGCTCTTCAAACGTGGCGCTAACCAAAGGTCATATTAATAATATTACACCAGCGGTTAAAAGATATAGCAATATAGTTACATACTTTCTTCCTGGATTCGTTCTTCATATGACATATGATATGGCGGTAAACGCGTGACTTTTTTTTTTTTTTTTTGTTTGAGCGCACACGACCGTTTACACTTACACATTCAGTGCCTTCATTGAGACACACACACACACCATTGCCAATGGCAATCTCTCCCGGGATTACCAGAGGTTCTTGAGCATTTCTTAAAGTAATACTACCTAGAACTATCTGAGCAATTTCGCACCGAGGAAGGCTTACATTTCTTTCTTCCTTTCACGTGCACTTGGCACGCTAGAGTCCATACTTTTATCAAAAACAAAATACCCCAAAAATACTAAAAAAATGACGCTATTTCTTCCGCACGGCTGCAATAGAAGAACGATAGAATGTATGTATTTTGAAAGATCTTTAACAAATCAATTTTTCTCACATGAAAACAAACAAGAATGGTCCCTGTGTCCCTTTCTTTTCCTTCCTCGAAGAGATGCTACGGGAGAGGAACACAAAAGGTAACGGTTTAATTTTTTTTTTTTTTTTTTGCTGTTTGCTTTTTGTTTATTTCTTATAGTTACTGAGAGCTTGAGAAACGTAGGGCGTGGTAAATCCCGATCACATGATTATCGCACTGCAGCCAATCAGTTGTGAGATTAGTCGATAAGAACGCGTTATAATGAATAAAGAAGTGGAATGAGAATGGGCAGCCACGTCCGACGTTTTTGAAGACGTCCGGGGCTTTAATAACTACTCTTACTAAGTGAAAAACTTACAAACCACTGCCTTCAGACGTGACGCGAATAAAACTTGTCAAGTTGTTAACAAGAGTTTTTTTTTTGCACTGAATGTAAAGTACAAGCGATAAAGAACTAAATTTTTCATTGTATTTTTGTTGTTTTTGTCACCGAAATTTTTTTTTGTTATGTTGGAGAGCGGTGTTGGTTGCTTTATTGCTTATGGCATCGCCACACTTGTCCGACTATCAGCTAACCTTTTTAACAGCGTGAGCAACATCGGTTATCGGTGATATATTTTTCTAAGTTCATTGTAATAGTACTGCTTATCTCAAATGAAGATCGTTACGGAGTGAGAAGCGAAACGTCAGTTCACGAGGACAACTAACAACCGATAAAGAAGGGACGATACACGGGTTAAAGTCTAGAGACATGTATACCATAATCGTAAGGGCACTATACGGACATCTGCGCACCTTCATCATCATCCAGATTCTGGAGCGTGCACTGCCCTCACGGGTAGTGCGTGCTTTATACCCAGAGCGGTCAAACTCTAAGCTGCCCGGTATCATATTCTGTTTTATTTTTTAATGTCAATCTTGTATATTAAAAAAAAAAAGATGTGGCGAGTTTTGATCAAGCGGAACAGAACGCCAAGCAGAAACGTACGCGTGTACGTAAGCAATATAATGAGTACTAGCTCTGTAAGAACTTGGCAAAAGGATTCGAAAGTTGAGGCTTAGGCCCGAGTAGGTTCGGAATTAAAAACAGCGCAAAGAGGCGAGGACCGGACGAAGAGGTGACACGGACGCAGCGCTCACTTTCAACTGAGCTTATTGGTGGTGGTGGTGGTGGTAGTTTGTTGGGTCTAACGTCTCCTGGGTTAGCCTAGCTCTGATGTGCTGGCCTGGGCAGGTGACAAACTCCAATAGAGCTAAAAAAAAAATAAAAAAAAAAACGAGGGTAATGCATTAAGAAAAATACATGAGCCTGGGCGCTCAGTCAGTTCTGTGTGTCGTAGGAACGCCAACAATGCCTTGAAAATCCTCCGGCACTTTCGTCTGGGCCCGTCGGGAAAGAGCAAGCTGTCTGTTGTCATCTGGGTGCCCTCCTTAACCCGTTGACGCAGCGCTTCCCGTTGGGTCTCGTATGCCGGGCAGACGCAGAGGATGTGGTGGATCGTCTCTTCTGCCCTGCATTGAAGACAGAATTGGGGTGGGGATTGTAAATCAAAGGAAAATAAAAGTTCCCCGTCTGCACCCGCGTGAGCATTGCAGACTTAAAGCCGATCGAGAGATAAATGAATCGGGCAATCGCCAAAAGTATTTTTGAGTGTAAGCCGATTTGGTAAGAAAAGGAAAATTATCTAGCTTGCCAGAGCCAGGGGAACGGACCGGCATCAGCGGCATTTATTGAAGACAGCTTGAGCTCTGCCGTTTTCCCATTTTAGCAAGGAATTCGTTTGTGTATGCCGTATTTGTCCGTAGTCGTCGCACCAGTGTCTCCGCTGCCCGGGAGAGACCGGTCAAGGTGCCTTTGGGTAAAGATTTCTCCGGCTTCTCCCGCAGGAGATGCCAGCGGACACCGAGAGCTGCCTGTTGCGGGTGTGCAGGTGTGGGGACCTGGGGGGGAAACTGATGTGCTTCCGCGGCGAGGTCATCCGCGCGTTCATTTCCCTGGATGCCGACGTGCCCTGGGATCCATTGGAAACAGACTGAAGAGCCATGCGCTTCCAAGATAGCCAGGGCCTTCCTTGCAGCGGCCGTTGCAGGGTCTCCGGTCTCGGCATTTGCTATCTTTTGGATGGCGCACCGGGAGTCCGTGAGAAGGACCATCGGTTGGGGCGGTAACTTGGCGGCCTCTAGGAGAGCTTTTTCCACGGCCACCAGCTCGGCCGTTGTTGACGACGTGGGTTTGTGGAGTCTGCCACTCCACTCCAGACTTAGTTTCGGTATGTGATAAGCCGCCGTGCTGGAGGTTCGTGAGTGGTTTACCGACCCGTCAGTGTATATCTGCAGCTTTCCGCTGTGACGTTCTTCGAGGTGGGCCTCCACTATTTTTTTGATGACAAGGGGTGGCTTGTCTTGTTTGGAGCGCAGGTACTTAATCCGCACCTCACTAGTTATCTTCGGCACTTCCCATGGTGGTGCCCTTGACTCGCTCTGTGGCATCGTTAGGGGGTCCGCGACTCGAAAGAAAACTTCCACCACCTTGCTCCATGACGCTGTCGTCCGGCCCTGAATTCTACGCAGGAACCATCTACCTGGGTGGGTTGTCAACAGTCGTGCCAGTTGGAAGAGGCTTCGTTCCCAAGACTGCCTCTCGAGCGACTCTAACCCCGCTTCTTGGAGGACCAGGTTGTTCTTGGCAGCCTTCGGGATCCCCAACGCCGTGCGAAGGCCCTGGCGGTGCAGTTGTTCCAACCTCTCCAGGTCCGTCGGGGATGGGGACATGTAGGGCAGCCTGTACAGTATCCTTGACGTGACGAGCGCTGTATGGGCGGCCAGGATGGTTCGTTCTGTACAGCCCCATGTGGCCCCAGTCATGCGGCGGACAGCATTCGTGGCCGGCCTGCAGGTTGTGATGGTCGCCTCCGCGGCTTGTGCCCATCGCAGTCTGTCTGTGAGGATGATTCCTAAGAACCGCTGCCTT